AAAAAAAAAAAAAAAAAAAAAAAAAAGGAAAGAAAGAGAAAAAAAAACAAGGAAAGCCTTGGCTGGAGCTGTGAACAGCTGCCCATGATAAAAATATTTCAGTGTCCAGTTTTGTTTATCAAAACACAAGGAGGAAATGGGAGAAATACATTAGATCAGGTCTAGAATGAAACATGGGCCTTCTAGGCTTATGGTCTGCCCTTTTTGTGTTCCCTCTTCAAACATTCATTTATTCGGTATATCTTATCTGTGCTCCTACCATTACCAGGCACTGAAGATTCAGCAGCTCATTGCTACATGGGTCCTGTATTCTGCTGACACCTCTTTGCCACTATCAAGATGGAAAGTATTGTGGTATCACTTATTTCCCCTTGCTCATTAATTGCCTGATTAGACATCAGAACATCTGAGTTTCAGTCAAAGGGCTGTCTAGACTCAGAACTTTAAGCCTTTTAATTGTGAAAATCACATCACCCGTAAAGGGCCTGGCCTGGTGCTTGGCACACAGTAGACCCTCCATAAATGTTCGTTTTGTTGAGATCTTGGCAAATAGGAGGATTGATGTGAGAGGTGGCCTAGAAGGTTAGATTTTTGTCCTTTTAGAGAGATCTAAGCTAGATCATTCATTTAACAAATACCACTGTTGCACTAGGCTTTGAGATATAAGAGTGTGCAACACACAGTTTAAGCCTCAAAGGGATGAGGCAAAGTGTAAGAGAAACAGAGCAGCAAACAGGCAGTTGCAACACAGTGTGATAAGCACTAGGAAGGGAAGCACAGGATGTCTTTTAGCCACAAACAAGAGGCACTAACCCAGGCTGGTGAGTGGGGGTAGGGGAAGCATCAAGCAAGGCTTCTTGGAGGAAGTAGCCTATGACCTGAGACTTGAGGAGACCTAGGCATTAGGTAGATGAAGTATGGGGAAGGAGTGGGGAAGTGTGCATAGTGTCCCACGCATATGGGACAGTTTCTGCAAAAACTCAAAGGCTCAGAGAGGACTGAGACTGATAGTCTGGCTGGAGAGTTGTGTACAAGGGGATGGAAGGCTGAGAGATGAGGCTGGCAAGGTAAGATGATGAAGGGCTGCTAAAGGGTTGTCACAGAGAACTGCAAGTAGAGGAATCTGGATCCCCAGGACTCTGGCATCTTTTGAGGTTGCATTTTGCTATGTCCTGGGAGAGGGGATAAGGGGGCAAAGATACAGAAAGAAAGGGGAGACGGAGTAAAGAAACAAGCTAAGAATTACTAAAAATCTATAAGATGTCCTTAGCCTAGGCAACATGGTGAAACCCATCTCTACAAAAAATACAAAAATTCACCAGGTGTGGTAGTACACGCCTATAGTCCCAGCTACTGGGGAAGCTGAGGCGGGAGGATCACTTGAGCCCAGGAGGTTGAGGCTGCAGTGAGCTGTGATCATACTGGTGCACTCCAGCCTGGACGACAGAGCGAGACTGTGTCTCAAAAAAAAAAAAAAGTTCGACTGTATTAGTCATCTGGGAAACGCAAATAAAAACCACAGTGCCTACCTTACTAGAAACAAATAGGCAGGGGTTAGAATGGAGATGTGACTCTCAGCCACACGCACACCTTGTCATTACCAGATCTCTCCTAGACGGTGTCCCTGAGGAGTTTACAACCCACTGAGAAGGAGAGGCTTCGTATAGTTTAAAAAGTGAATTGTGATGGGGAGAAGAATCCTAGGCTTAGGGAACTTCCAACTCTGGCTTCCTCTCTTCCTCCCTAACTAATCTGAAGTGTCCATTCTTCTATCCAGAATATTCAGCTAACCAGAAAATGAATTTCCCAAACATCCATAACATAGATTTTCATAGTCTCAGACCTTTCCATGTGGTGCTCGATGCATTGGAAAAAAGCAGGGCTTTGAGTCAAATATCAAGCAAGCTGGGGTCCTGCTTCTATCACTGATCTTGGGCAAGCAGCCTGACCTCTCCTGAGCCTCCATCTCTGAAATGGGAATAATAACAGCTGCTTCCAAAATGGTGACATCCCTGCTCTATCTCCCTCAGCCAGATCCTTAATGTTAGGAAAGAGAAAGCAAGGATTCCTATATTATGGTCAGCACCATTTTCTGAAGTTGCTTTTGTGCATTTATGTAACCACACCACAGGTCATAAGCATATTTTATAATTAAGTCACTGAGAAAGCTCTGCTGTGTTGACCTGGTTATACATATTTTCTGGCAGCAATAGCAGGGGGAAAATACATATATACTTAACATTATTACTGTCCAAAGAACAATGGTGAGAAGCAAGGAAAGGGCCTTAGAGCTCTTTGGCCTGTCTCAGTTACCTGTGGGACAGCTGGGGTCTTCCGGCTAGAAATGCGTCTTCCAGACGCAGCAAGGCTTCATGGAAAATGATGCTTCCTAAGAGCCCCTGGGGCAGAGCAATTAGAGAACTAGAAGGGTCAGGAGTTTCATAGAGGAGGAAGCTGGTCCCAGATCCAGCATCACAGAGTCCTCTGGTCAGCTCCTGACACCATAATGCTCCTTGCTTGCCAGCTTCTGTAAAAAGCAAGCTACAGAAGAGGTTTTGAACTGACCTTTTCCAGTGTGCAAAAGGTGCAAGCTGATTTTACCGGGGGAAAAGAGGACTGCAGAGAGAAAAGCACCAAATGCAGCAGTCAGTATAGTAGTTCCTTCCACCAATAACCTCCAGACTCATGCCTGGGAGCCCTCTGAAGCCCCAGGATAGAGTGTCTGGCACAGATGAGGTACTCAGGGAATTACATTAATCTGGACAATAAATGTGCATTAGCAGTGAAAAGCTTACTCTAAAGCTGGCTCTGCAAGGAACAGCTGTTGACCTGGGGTCAGGGAGGAAATTACTTTTTCACTATACACCATATTATTCTTTTTGAATTTTGTACCATTGGTTATCAAAAAGGTAAGTAATATTTTTAAAAACTTAAAGCCTAATGTTATTCCCCACTCAGGGAGATTTGCAGGACAATGGAGGGGAGAAGGTGGGTCTTTAGAGTCAAACTAACTTGGGTTTTGACTCCCAGCTAATCCCACTACTTCTTAGCTGTGTGTCTGAAAACAAGTTACTTAGCTTTTCAGAGCCTCATGCTACGTAACTATAATGGGGAGAATGAGCCTCCATTGCACTGTGATGGAGATGAAAGTGATACGGCAACACTTAGGAGATTCACAGTATGCCAGGCACTCTTCTGAATGCTTTCTGGCTGTGTGTGGACTCATTTCATCCTCAGGACAACACTGCATGAGGGATATTATTCTTTTCTTCCTCCCCATTTTGCAAATGAAGAAACTGAGCCTTAGAGAGACTAAAGAACTTGCTTAAGGTCTCACGGCCAGGCAGGCTGTTCACCTCCCAAGCCCAGCTCTTCCTACCTCCTTTCTGCTGCCTTGAACTGTTAGCATCCTCTCCCTTTCAATTAGGAATTCTTAAAAAATGCACACATTTTCAAGATCCAAAAAAATGTCTTTCTCATAATGGGCTGCTGGGTATGGTGACAGGCTAGTGAGGGCAGTGCTGGTTAGCAAAGCAGGTAAGAGAGAGAGAAAGACGGAGAAACGTTCAACTCTACTGAAGTTAAGAATTTTGCAATCAGAGAATGTAATTGAATGATAGTATATGTGTAAATTTTTTTACACTTTATTATTGTTATTTTTATTTTATTTATTTATTTATTTTTAAGACGGTGTTTCACCATGTTGGTTAGGCTGGTCTTGAACTCCCGACCTCAGGTGATCCACCCACCTTGGCCTCCAAAGTGCTTGGATTACAGGCGTAAGCCACCACGTCCGGCCTTATTATTGTTATTTTTAGAGACAGACCCTTACCCTGTCATCTAGGCTGGAGTGTGGTGGCACAATCACAGCTCGCTGTTACCTTCAACTCCTGGGCTCAAGCAGTCCTCCCACCTCAGCCTCCCAAGTAGCTGGGACTACAGATGCATGCTACTACACCCGCCTAATTTTTTAAACAATTTTGTGTGTGTGTGTGTGTGGAGATGGGGGTCTTGCTATTTTGCCCAGTGTGGTCGCAAAACTCCTGGCCTCAAGTGATCCCCCTGCCCTGGCTCCCCAAAGTGCTGGGATCACAGATGTGAGCCATTGCAGCAGCCTATTTTTATTTTAAAATGTTTAATTATATATTAGAGGAGGATTCCATAAGGTCTTCAGGACTTAGGGCCTCCAAAAACAGTAAAAGGGTGGAGCAAACTTTTAGGGTTGCCTGCTCCACCTACCTCAAATGGGTCCTGGGCTGAGTCACCATTGCTGACTCTGTGGTCATCCAGAGCAGGTCTTTTTGTGGTTGACGTCCTGATACTAACTTGTCTGTGGTTGTTTACCTATTCTACTTCTAAGATTGAATCAGCCGGGCACAGTGGCTCACACCTGTAATCCCAGCACTTTGGGAGGCCGAGGCGGGTGGATCACGAGGTCAAGAGATTGAGACCATGCTGGTCAACATGGTGAAAACCCCGTCTCTACTAAAACTACAAAAAATTAGCTGGGCATGGTGGTGCGTGCCTGTAATCCCAGCTACTCAGGAGGCTGAGGCAGGAGAATTGCCTGAACCCAGGAGGCGGAGGTTGCGGTGAGCCGAGATCGTGCCATTGCACTCCAGCCTGGGCAACAAGAGCGAAACTCCGTCTCAAAAAAAAAAAAAGATTGAATCAAAAACCAATCGCAAGGCCAGGCACTTCGGCTCACTCCTGTAATCCCAGCATTTTGGGAGGCTAGGCCGGGAGGATCACTTGAGTCCAGGAGTTTGAGATGAGCCTGGGCAACATAGTGAGTTCCCATCTATACAAAAAAATTTTTTTAATTAGCTGGGCGTGGTGATGCATGTATGTAGTCCCAGTTACTTGGGAGGCTAAAGCAAGAGAGAATCTCTTGAGCTGGTTTGAGGCTGCACTCCAGCCTAGGCAACAGAGCAAGATGTCATCTCTTAAAAAAAAAAAAAAAAAAATCCCAGTGATTTGAATGTTCCAGGTGGTTAGTTTCTCAATTTTACTGCACTTGGAATAAAAGGTTTTTTTCCTGCAGTTCCTTAAAAGAGTTTCAAAGTAAGAAATGAGCCACGGCCAGGTGTGGTGGTCACGGCTGTAATCCCTGCACTTTGGGAGGCCACAGTGGATGGATCGCCTGAGGTCAGGAGGTGGAGACCAGCCCAACCAACAAGAAGAATCCCTGTCTGTACTAAAAATACAAAAATTTAGCTGAGCGTGGTGGTGGGCACCTGTAATCCCAGCTACTCGGGAGGCTGAGGTAGGAGAATCGCTTGAACCCGAGAGGTGGAGTTTGCAGTGAGCTGAGATTGCGCCATTGCACTCCAACCTGGGCGACAAGAATAAAACTCTGTTTCAAAAACAAAACAAACAACAAAAAAAGAAATGAGCCTGAATAGGCAAGGGGTAAGGACACTTATTTTCCTTTGGCTGAACTGAAGATTCTTCCTCCCCATGTCCCAGAATGGTTCATTTCCTTCCCATTTCCCCTGAGTGTGCTCACTACCCCTCCGACTCTAGGACCCTTGGTGTTTCCTTTAAGTCTTTTCTTGCCCCTCAGAATTAGGCCACTTGCCCTTGTGAGCACCTCCATAGGCCTTGGAGAGGCCTTAAGCTCAGCCTGTGCTCAGAGTGCTCCCAACACTGGGACCATCTCTCCTCTTCCTGCCCTCTGAAGTGTCCAGCCTGGCAATGGGTCTTGGCCAAAGAAGAGAGAAACCATGTGAAGACCTCATCCCTGCCTCCACCACCAGTGTTCTCCGCAAGCTTGCATCATCTCTTCCTGCCTGTCATGCTCGATCGATAAGCAGCTTTCAGCAGCTCCTTACTGCCTCCAGAAGCAAGCCCAGACCTTTCCCTGGCATCTGGGCTCTCCTCCATTTGACCTGCCAGCCTTGCCTCTCTCCATACCCCCACATGGGCCTGACTGCGGAGCAGATCCTGAATGCTGTCACGCCGACTCCTGGCTCAAGCTGTATCCTCTGCCTGTTTCTCTCCACCCTGGGGAAGTTGACCCATCCACCAAGGCCTAGCACAAAGCCCATCTCTAGAAAAATTATTCCCAGCACTTACCTCATTCATGTTCTTGCTGCTTTCCTTCCCTCCTTCCCTTCTCTCTTCCTCCCTTTCCTCTTTCTGTCTCTCTCTGCTTCTCTCTCAGTTTCTCTGTCTGAATGTGCATTGATCTCTCTCCTCAGCCACATTCCCACGGGACTCCCTTTGTACCTCTGAGATAGCACTTACTTCAGGTTGCTTTGGAATAGAGTGCTTCATGCTCACACCGCCTCCCAGGCTAGACATTGTGCTCCTAGAATTCAAGAGCTACCCATTCTTCATTTATCTGCATATTGATCATCTGCTGGCCCCACCCAGGGTTTTGTACCTGGAATAGGTTCTTAATAAATGTTTGGCACTTGATACAGTGACTCGGTGGGCAGAGCATTGGCTTTAGCAATGGGCAGCACACCTTCTAATGTGTGACCTTGGGCAAGTGACTTACCCTTCCAAGCCTCTTAGGTTCGAAACTTATAACATGGGGGTTAAAATAGTGCCTACTCCATAGAGTGGTGAGAGATGAATGAGAACATTCTACATGAGTAGAACATGTAATGTAACACTTACCACTCCAAACTAGGCATGAGTCATCAGCTTTATCCTACACATACTTTCGGAGATTTATTTTGCCCTGGATCCTCTGGAGTGGGTACTAGGAAGAATTTTACTAGGATATTCATGTTGAAAGACAAAGATGACCTTGATACAGCCTGGGCCTGGTTATAGAAAGGATGGATAAGTCTGAACAGATTCTAAAGAAATTGAGGGCACAAAGCTGGCAGCCCCAGGCCTTATAAAGGTGGGCCTCAGCTGGGAGCGGTGGCTCATGCCTGTAATCCCAGCACTTTGAGAGGCCAAGGTGGGCAGATCGCGAGGTCAGGAGATAGAGACCGTCCTGGCCAACATGGTGAAACCCCATCTCTAGTAAAAATACAAAAATTAGCTGGGTGTGGTGGCGCACATCTGTAGTCCCAGCTACTCAGGAGGCTGAGGCAGGAAAAGCGCTTGAACCTCGGAGGCAGAGGTTGCAGTGAGCTGAGATTGCACCACTGCACTCCAGCCTGGTGACAGAGCAAGACTCTGTCTCAAAAAATGATAATAAATAAATAAATAAATAAAAAGGCAGGGCCTCTCTTCCCAACTAAAGAAATTATATACCATCTAGGAAATCGGCTCCTTCACTCTCATGCTAAAGATGAACACCTATCAGAGCCCCTTCCCAAAGCCACCTTCATACTTTAATGTGAGCCTGAATAATTGGAGAACAGGAAAGGCAGTTTGGAGCATAGAGAAAGAGAATTTTTAAAGGAGCTTGGCCATTGTGCCTCTGGCACTGAAGGTGAGGGGAACAGAGGCCAGGAGGGCAGGACTCTAAAAAGCCAGGGAGCTCCTCTTGTCATTGAGACACACACTCCGGCCAAGCCGACGTCTCCCTTTTCCTTGGATTCCAGGAGCAGCCGTCCTGGGCAGGGGCAGTGGGTGAAGTATAGTTGGGGGAGAAGGGTGGGTAGGAGCAAAGCAGTATCCTCTCTTCGTCTGGCCACAGTGGTTCTCAGCATGCGTTCTTAAGTGAGTGTTTTGATATATTTCAGCCTCTGAGAATGTTGGAAGACCACCAGCTTTTCTCAGGGCCGAGCTCCCTTGAATAAGTTGATGTACTTCTGCACACCATTCCCACTGGCCTGTCCACCGTCTAGATTCCTGTGATGGGGTGGTGGTGTGGGATTGGGTTTGGGGTGGGGGGATTGATGCTGGGGACAGAGCAGTTGCTGTGGAAGATTTGAGTCCTGTGTGGCAGCCTTTCCCTTGGAGACAAGATCCTGGACTAGGTTCTTGGTACATGAATGACTTTTGGAGACCATCTAGTCCAATCCACCCTTTTGCAGATGAGGAAACTGAGATCTAAAGAGCCCAAGCCAGCAGGAAAACCCAAATCTCATCCCAGTCCAGGGTTTTTGTCCTGTTTCTCTCGGACAATCCCATAAATAAATTTTGCTGTGTGTGATATGATGCAGGTGTCACAACAAGGTTGAAAAGGACAAATCTGGATTTGACTAGGAAGTGGGAGTTCTGCTTGCTCAATCTCAAATCGGAGCCTCAACTTGCTCCTTGCCTGACTTTTAGCTTTTCATCCTATGGTGTGGGGAGGGGTGGGCAGAGGGAGGATTGGTGCAAACAGTGTCTAGATTTCCACTCTGATAGACTCTTGGGGTGGAGCTGGAAAGGTCCAAGGTGAGGTGTGAGAGTTTTGACTGGATGGATCTGCTCTTTCAAGTGCTAGGCAGGTAGGCAGGCTTTCTCTTCCTCCTTCCCTAAAAGATCTGCAGCCTCTATAGGATCAAAGGAGGCTGGTGTGCAATAAGAATGCCACTGAGAGGTGGTGCCCAGCACCCATCCAGGAAAAGGAACAGACAGAGTGAAAAACTGATGATGGTAACTCATATGAGTTTTTGTGTTTTTTTTTTCAAGCAGAAGTAAGTAAAGCTGGCATGGGTATGACCAATGGAAAGGCTAAGAGAAGTGGGATGTAGAAAGGATTGATGTAAGGCCGGGCGCGGTGGCTCACGCCTGTAATCCCAGCACTTTGGGAGGCCGAGGCGGGTGGATCACGAGGTCAAGAGATCGAGACCATCCTGGTCA